TATTGCGGCGCTCAGTGAAACTCGGCTCGCTGAGCAAGGTAAGTTACATGAAGCAGGTGCTGGCTACACATTCTACTGGGTGGGGAACGCCGCCTCAGCACCACGGGAACATGGGGTCGGACTTGCAATATCCGATCGCCTGAATGGCCAGCTGGTGGGTGAACCAACGGGCATCAGCGCGCGACTGATGACTGTTCGCCTACGACTCGGAAGAGGTAAGTTTGCTACTTTTATAAGCACGTACGGTCCGACCATGTGTTATCCTGATGACACGCATGATCAGTTCTACACTGAGCTATCCTCCGTGATACGGTCTGTGCCGAGGAGCGACCGACTATTTCTGCTGGGTGATTTCAACGCGCGCGTTGGGCGTGATGCATCAGCGTGGACAGATGTTATCGGTTCGCATGGCATTGGTTCAGCGAATGTAAACGGTGACAGGCTGCTCTCACTGTGTGCCACTCACGGCCTGACGATCACGAACACTCGGTTTGCACTGAGTGCGAGTGATATAGCAACTTGGACGCACCCACGGAGTGGTCACGCTCACCTGCTCGACTGTGTCATCTTACGTCAGCGTGATATGCGTGAAGTGCGCATGACACGTGTACTGCGTGGAGCTGAGTGTGGCAGTGATCACAAATTGGTGGGGACCAAACTGTACATATATTTTCGTAAATCTGTGTGTTGCACTCCCGCCGTGAATCGGCGTAAATTTAACATTCTCTCCCTCGGTACTGTGGCGACATATAAATATCTCCCTGTACTCCATGCCATTAACTTGCACACATCTAAGCCAATTGCATTTGATTTCCATAATATTTTTTGTTCGTGGCATTCCGTGAACTATATTTCCTGACCTCGTGCACTTAGCTAGGATTTGTTTGTAAACAACTTATTACATATGCTATTTAATTAAGGTTTATATCACCGTTTCCTTACGCATTAATCGAGTTTTTCTCTTTTTCAGTCTCTCTCAAGTGTTTGGCTGTTGCTTGATATCCCCGGTGTGGCTGCGCTTGATGTGCATGTTGACGAGGTTCCTACCTGTCTATTACCCACTACCTCGTCCATATTGGCTCCAGGAGACAGTTGGTCGTTGCTGGAGTGGACGGGGTGCACGGTCCTTGTGGCCGTGCTAGGCTCGAAAACTGGTTCCATGCATTCAGTGTGGTGCGGACTACGGTCCAGCCACCGCCTCGTGTGCGATTGATTCCCCAAATACAGTGTGCTTGTGTTTGCCTGTGTAGGAGTGTGTGTCGGCTCCGTTGATGAAACGTGGCTCCCATCCACATGCCTCCCGGTCTTATTCCTTCGGGTTTACACTGGATATGGGTGTGTGGTTGGAGCTGTGGGTAATGCAGCGCAAGCCATCCATGGTCCCTCTGTAGGCGCAGGCGTCCTGTGGCTGGCCACGGTGACAGGCAAATCCGAAACCGGATGCCGCCAACCATGCATTTCGTTCATGTATTGCGGCAGAATAGTGGAGATGTTTTCCCACCTCTAGTTGACGTGTATAATGGTGATGATGATCTGCATTCGGCCTTCGATAAAGGATGCTTGAGGCGAACTGCTCGTGTTTACTGGAAACGCCGTATTTGCAACGATGAAGTCAGACATCATGTCTTAGGGAATGCAAGTTTTCCCCTTAACTAGCTGGTTTTACTGCGCCAGTTAAGATGGCTGGGTCACGTTCTGCGTATGTCAGCTGAGCGTTTGTCCCATTGCGCCCTGTTCGCTCGTGCAGGACTCGATTGAAAGAGGCCACGTGGTGACCAACCATTCACATGGTGGCAACATATGAAATGATCGACTTCACGTCTTCCTGCCGTTGGATCCACATTCGTGCCTGGTTGGGGACGTAAGGACTAAGAGTGTTGATGGCTGAAAACGATTCAAGATATGGCGCACCACATCTGTGTACTGCTTTAAAATCATGATTGTCTTGGCTTCAGAAAAGACCTTTTGTATTCTGGTCTAGATATCGGCCTTGTATGTTAGGCCCTTTAGCCAAAGCCAAAGGCCGTTGTCTAGTAAGACAACCCACCTACTTCGACCTAGGCAACCGGATAGTATCTCGCCTACTGACGAACCGTGTACATGAATTTAGCTACACTCGCTCGCTCTGCTAATGCATTGTTTTTCCGCTACTGCTACTATTACTTCTCAATCACATGCGCCCACTTATCTACAATTCCTCTGTATCATCCTCTCCCGCTTTCGTCCAACCCCTCATCTATGAACAGCATTGCGCTCACTGATGAAACTGTCGCTATACCAATCATGCACCTCCAACCCGAGGTAAGACAATCACATGCTTCCTCCTCCTCGCTTCTCCAACCCAAAACACAGTTCAATTTGGGAGCGTCCAACGTGCGTACCCTAATGCGCATTGGACAACAAGCCGGTCTCGCACGCACCCTGTAATCTCTTGCGATAGATGTGTGTTGCTTATCTGAAACCCGACTTCAAGACTCCAACATAGTCTAGCAACTGTCTTCATCTGTTCACTCGTACACCCGTTTCCTTCTTCGCGTTTCTGGCGACGCCGAGTTCACTGCAGCTGGGCAAGCTGGTGTTGGGATTGTCCTTAGTTTCAGAGCCGAAGCCGCTCTTCTTGATTGGATTTCTATCAATAGTCCCCGCTGCGCTATGCGACTCCAAGGCTCCTCCAAAGTTAAAAGGCTTCGAGGAGACAAACGCGCTCTTTTTGTTATCTCTGTATATGCGCTTACTGATTGTAGCCCGGATACAGTCAAAGAGGTATTCTATCAGAACCTTCGTGACCTAATTCTAATGGCCTCCAAACCGGATATCAGTGTTATGGCGGGGGATTTCAACGCGCATGTTGGACGTTTACTGTAATTCGAACGCCATCTCGGAGTTCCGCATGGATACGATGACCTTCGCTCTGATAATGGAGGAAGACTGCTCAGCTTATGCTCTGAACTTCCGCCACCCGAGACGCCATTACGCTACTTGGCGTGCTCCATCGTCGTCACATTAGTCGCAGATTGACCACATCGCCACAACTCGGCGGTGGTGTGGCAGGGTTCGAGTCTGCAGATCTTATTCATCAACTTGCATCGAATCTGATCATGCGCTGGTACGTACGACGGTATGCATGCGCTTCGGTGGCTCGCTTTATATCAGACAAACTCGTCTGAACATTGGTGACTTGTAAGACCCCGCTGCTCAAGTGGAATATCAACGGATGCTCCGTGACAATCTCACCTTTCCCCCACCTCTGGACGTTGACTAACTTTAGCTGCGTTTAAAACAGGTACTATTTTCTTCGATTCTGTCTACCTGTGGCCTTGTTCGGTCAACAGCTAAAAGTTGCATCTCTTCGACTTCGTCGGAATTACTTGATCGTCGGCAGTCCATTTTCGTCAGTGTCGGGCACACTGAACTCCGACAAACCATCTCTCAACAACTAAAAGCAAGTCTTCGCCGCGATCGTGAATCGTAGTGATCCAATCGAGCCAAGGAAATGGAAGCTGCTACCACTTCTGGAAACACCTGCAGATTATTTTACCTCACCACCGGATGCAAATCATGTGCCATCAGTGAGGCAATCTGCGCGTCAGACGGTACGAGGACCACTAATCTACGCAAACGTCTGCATTGCTGGGCAGACCACTTTGATCTTCAATTTACTTATCCGACTCAACAACCGATGCTATCCCCTTTGCTATATTATGGTACTTAGCCCGTGTGCACAGATCCTCTCATTTAGGCTGCGCTGCGGAAGGAAGTCGAGACTGTGATATGTTGCAATGCTTTAAGTTCTGAGAGCTTTCCTCCGGCCCTATGAACAGATAGAGGAAATACCGTTATTAGCGAGCTGCTCTCGCTTTTCATGAAAGTGTGGGTCGATGAGAAGATTCGCAACCCTTGGGGCGAATATATCGCGGTCCCGATTTATAAGAAAAACTCATGCAGCGATTTCACCAAGTACTGTGGAATATTGCTCATTTTGGTCGTTTCTAAAGTTTTGTTTCAATACCACTTCGCGGACTTTCAGCTACTCCAGAGAGTCTGTCTCGGGAGCAACAAGGCGGTTTTCGCAGTAGTCGAGGTTGCATTTACCAGTTCTACACACTGCGCCAAATTCTTGAACAGCGTAACATTCACCTAAGACCAACATTAGTGGTGTTTTTGAACATCCTTACCGCCTTTGACTCCATAGCTAAAACATCCCTTTGGAACCGTCTACTAAAAAGCGATGTACCCGACAAATTTGTCAAAATCCTGAAAGAACTGTATCGTCACACCTTGGATAAACCTAAAGCATATGGAAAGCGTTCTTCGTCTTTTGATTTTACCTGCGTTGCACACCAAGGTTGCCGAATCTCATCATTCATTTTGAATAATAAAATCGAAGCATAATATCGTTATTTTTCACTTTACTTCGTTTGTTTACGACCATCTGTTTGAGTTGTATTGCATCACAATAGCTGTGTTTCTCTCCTCTAGCTAACGTGTACAATTAGTGCATGGATGATGTATACGTCTTGCTCCTGTCCGTCCGCTTAGTACATTTTGGTTTACACTGAATCACCTCGTCTTCTTGCTTTCTATTTGCGAGATTATTATGGTGCGACAGCTATGCCTCTACGCAAATTACACATGTATTGCTTTTGATGATGTTAAGGGACCATTTGCACATTTTGACATGCTCCTTGGGTGTACTTTGTTAACACGGTTAACTTAATATAGTCTTTTAATCTTTGCCTTTCTCACATTTTCAGGTAGAGCACTTTCCTTCGAGATTCTATTATGTGCTTGCTGAGCTCTGCTGCTCCTTACTGGAAGTGATGCCGTCCTATGTCATCTGTGCACAACCCGATGAATGCGCCGTAGCCGTGCTTTCAGTATTTCTGGCATTTTCTTTCCAACCGTTGATTATCCGAAATGATACAGTTCCCTTATCCTACGGAATTTCATATGCAACAATGTACCTGTTTACCCGTTGATTGATCTTCTTGTGTCCCTATATGAATTTTTATCTGCCCCTGGGGCTTAGTTGCTTTGAGGTTGTCAGGTCTAGGTTTTCGGACTGGGATTCTGCCGGACTTTCGAAGATACCACCTTCGATTATTTGTGCTTCTCGGTTGCTTTCACTTCGTCAGTTGTCACATCTTCGACTTTGCCAGTACATCGATGTTGTGCGTGAGAAGCCGGAACGTTTATTTGTCGTCTCGGAGACGTACAGCAAAAGCCTGGAAGATTTTATTGACCCCGTTTCCGATGTGGAATGGCTCACTGAGAGACTGACAGAATGTTTAGATGCCCTAGATTATCTTGACCAACACCATCTTGTTCACGTATGTTTGAATCCGTCAAAGATAATGCTTAATTTCAACGGGACCGTCAAAATAAATGGTTTTGGACTGTACTACGCCACTCACTGGGGATATGATGTGGACTTTCCAATTATTGATCCTATTTATTCTGCCCCAGAGACATTTCTGACTTACTTTCTCTTGCGTAAAAACGATGGTGACCTTAAACACAGCCAGGAAGATCCATGTCCTCTGCACATTGTGTGCGATATGTGGTCTTTGGGTTTGATTTTTCTTGAGCTTATTTATGGGCGTGGACTTGGAAACCCTCTCCGCAGGCGAATTGACTCCCAACTCTCCAAAGGCTCGAACGAGTTAGCATCAAGTTTGGATTCAACCAATCAGAAATTTGCTGCGTCAACTCTGTTAGAGGGCTTGCGTCTCTCAAGGACGACTAAACAGAATTTTGCCGATTTCCTGTCAATTACGTCACACATCGACCCCACTGAACGCTCGCTCAAGAGTTTGGAGGATATTTGCCTACAATGTCTTATGTTTAACCCGGCGCTTCGGCCGGTCCCTTCTGTTGTCATGTGTCGACTGCAACAGCGACGAAATGCATTGCCTTTGCAACCGAAGATTCCTGATACATGCATTTATCTAACAGCAAAAGTTCCAGAATCGATAAATGTAAGTTTCAGAGCCTTTTGTTTTGCTTTTCGTGGCTTCCAGGATGACCGTTACTTTTTCCATCGTTACGTCCACGTTTGTTACAATTATCACACGCGCTTTCTTTTTACTAGCGAAGCTTTAATGAGCAATTTGCTCTTTTGCGTACCTTCATTAGTTAGTTACTGTGTTTTGATGTGTGCCATGCACGTTATATTCATATAGTGTGCTTGCGGTATGATGAAGCATCCTTTTCTGGAAACAGAAACGTTGGTTATTCCTGGCTCAACTACTTAATTGTTTGCTTTTACGAGCCATTGTAGCAGATTAAATGTACCTGGATCTCCTTGTCGCCCCGTTTATCGAACCCACCTTATTTGCTTTAGATTACCCCGAGAATGACTTCTGTCATCCATTTCTAGGCCGCAATATCTATGGGTTGTTGACTATCATGGGGTGGACAGTTGATTCCTTTCCGGAATAGTTGGTGGATGCGTAGTCACCCGTCTGTCGTTACAAAGCAATTCCCATTAATAAGCCGTAGTCTCGTCTATATGCCTTTATCGCCAACATGTTGGCGTGTTTTCTTCTAAACTATTTTCCACTTTCTATCTCAACATACGATTGCCGCATTGTGACGCAATAACTGTCTACATTTCGCGCTGAGTTAACGGAAAATGTATGCTAGATAACCACTATTCCTTTAAAAAACTGCTAAATCTATCCCTTTAGAAATCTATGCAAAATAAGCCTTCTAGTATAGATAGCATTAGGTGCGATTGTAAACTAATGAGGCACAAGAGCTATTGGACCGTTCCTAAAACCTAGTACCTGCTATCCAAATGGGGCACAAGCTAACCAGAACTCAAACCAATGGTTGCATTTTGCATCCAGTGTTCCAACGTCCGCAATCTATATTTAACTGGTCATCTGGCAACTCACTGTCCGTTCCTCTGCACTTTCTTGATGTGTATTTCTGCTGTGCCTCCGAAACACGCACGTGACGTCTTGGTGAGCTCTTGGTTACCCTGCTTCAATTCCAGTAGTAACGATTGCTTTCCGCTTTTTTAGTGACAGTCTGTGATTTACACTGGTTTTACGTCCTCGGCGTTGCACTGATTACATAGGCATCTGATGAGTGACTCTTTTCGAATTGGTCCCAGGAAATGGCCGTTAGTTCGCGACCCCGCTCCCAAGGGCAGCCCTGGTTAATCGGTGCCGTTTGCGAACATGGTGTCTCCGTTGTTTTAGTTTGCTCTCCAACCGATTACAGCTCGTAGACTATCAAAGACCAGTTCTGTCGGCGAATTTCTTCCTTTATCAGCTTGACCGGGCTCTCTTGACTATTGTGGGTGACGCGAATACACAAGTGGCTGCTTATCACCCACCCAGTAGCGCATAGGGCTTCACTTTTGGTTCGCGTTGCTTCACTACTATTGATGCTCAATTTCCCAGTTGTGTACCAACTGCAACCTTTTTATCAACAGTACTTCCGACGTAAACGTTCGCATCACATCAACTGAAATTCTCCGAACACTTCGATTCCTTGGACTCAAATCGGCCATGGTACCGCCATTATTTGCACGTGACGCAAACTTTCACAAGCTTGGTGATCTATCTGTAGCACCTACCACGCCGCTGTGCGCACCTACGTTGCAATTACCTTCTGCAACTAGTCTAACTTGTTGGCTATCTTTTCGTCACTCGAACTCAGTCTGACAACCATTGCTCGCAAATCGAATTACATCCCCATTTGTCGTTGACCAATTAGGTGGGAACGTTTTCTGTTTGTTATGAAAGAAGCTGCTTCTCTATCTAGCTTTGGGTATTGGAATTGCAAATTGCTGAAACTTTGTTTGGCTTGCTTGTGGTGAAACGAAGTGATCGGTCAATAAGTTGGCAAATGGGGCTTGTAAGAACTGCTCGTAAAGCTGAGTTTACGTATGTATAATTCCTCTATTTAAAAGATTTCTGCATCAGCGCGATATCAATGGATACAATCCACGTCGGACACGATACGGCGTCAGTGGTTCTCTTGCGCCTGACTTTGATTGTGGTGCTTTGATTTCTTCTCACGGAAATTGCTTTTTTCTTTTACGATAATTCAAATGAAGACAGCTACTTCCACCACATTTCACTTCGTGGTTAACAGGATTCTGGTTTAACCAGAATGAATTGATCATTTTCGTCACCTCTGATTTTATACTTGGCGAAGAGCCGACCTCAGTTGTTTTGTATTGTGCGTTTCTTTGTCCCAACCCCTCTCGCTTTACTCATACTTTCAAAACACGATCTGAATGTCGTTGCATTTTTATTTTATATTTGTATTTACACGAGTTACTAGTGAAACTGTTGGAGCAGGGAACTGTCCCTACCGACTAGAACCGCTCCGTTGTCCCAATTTGTATGGGATGCTCACATTCGGAATGCGGCAACCATAGATGAATCGGTCTTATCTCCATCGTCTCCAAATTGCTTATCTGCCATCCTTCACAGACTGACTGGCACTCGCATAAGTCAGATTCGTGTGGTGCAAATCCGGTTTCATCGAGGTCGAACACTGAGAATAGAGAGCGAGAAGATAAAAATCTGTGTTGAGCCATCGTAGGTGGATTGGGTACATGCGCGAAATCACGTCGCTGATTCCTGCGCGGTGGCAACATATTGCAACTTCACTACATCTTATTCGGGTGCGATGCACTCCCTATACCTGTAGTCCGCAATGTGGACGTCAAGCAGTCTCTTAAATTCGGACACCGATTTCTCCTCGACAAGCTTCTCCGGCAACTGGTTCCAACATCTCACCATTCTACGCTCGAAGCATAGAGGGTGAGCGATGCGCTTTAAATCCGGTACAACTAGTTTGTGCTGGTGTCCGCGTGTGCTGTTTGGGCCGCGAACGTGCAGCAGCGACCTCAATATAGGAAAGTGGTCCTAGGTAGTTGTATCAGCGCGTTGGAATTGAAGGCGAGGTCAGAAACCGTATGATGTAAGCATGAGGCGCTTTTGCTAACCTTCGTCACCTATGTCGCTGGCGCGACATCATTCTCTCCCTGAAAGGTAGAGTATACAATGCAGATGTACGTTCGACCCTACCGTACGGTTGTGAAACCTCGCTCATTAGATCGGCAGACATAAAGAGGCTGGATAAGTTCGGCCACGGGTGCTTTCGCAGTTTGGCTTATATCTGGTGAGAACACCTTGTGTGCAATGTGCGCGTTCGACACCTTTATAGCACAAGCACACACGCACTATACACGTTAGCTAGAGATGGGAAACACCTCAGATACTGTGCCGCAATACCTAAAAGAAAAGAAGGAAATAAATTGCTGCAGGTGCAAGCCAGCTGAGCTACCGATAACGGATGGGCATCGTTCCGGTAAGCTACCTGCCGGCTACTATGGAGCAGAAAAAAAATTTACTATGCAAAATTATAAGATGTTAAATAATGAGCTCGTGGTTGGAGTGGGAGGCTAAGAGAGATGGGGTGGGGCAAAGAAACTCACAGCAAGAACGCCATTGAGATCGGCTCCTAGCCATATCAACCAGTGTATCCAGCCAAACGTGTTCATCGTCTTTCGGATCCCAACCAGGGAGCCGAGGCGCTCCAACCGAGGCCAGCTCAGAGTTGAGGGCCTTCATTCCTCTCAACCAAGTCATCGCTTGGCCACCTCTCCTCTTCTTCCATCCACATCCCCGGCGCGCAAACAACGCACTTCGCGGGAGTCGGTGGGCTGGCATGCGTAACACGTGGTCGAGCCATCGGCGCCTGGTGAGTGAAATAACGATGCTGAGCGGTTCATTTCCTTTTCCTGTGCCGTAAACAAGGCTTCGAACACGCTCGTTGCTCACACGGTGTTCTCACCAGATGTGAGCTAAATTGCGAAGACATCGGTGGTCGAACGTAACGAACCTCTTTATGTCCACTGATCTGATGGGCCAGGTTTCGCAACCGTACAGTAGGGCTGAACGTACCGCTGCATTGTACACTCTACGTTTCAGGGCGAGGGTGATGTCGCGCCGGCGCCATAAGTGGCGAAGGTTAGCAAAATGCCTTGAGCTTTTGCTGTACGGTTTGTGATCTCATCTTCAATCCCACGGGTGCTGGTACAACTTTAGGTATTTGAATTTCTGAATCACTTTTAGCTGCTTCGCACCAAGGGTCAGCGCAAGCGGCGGTCTAGGCCAATCTTGGAGGAACGCTTTGCACTTCGATGGTGCAAAGCAAAGCCCGAAGCGGCTGACAGCCAGTGCTAATTTGTCCAGTGCCGCTTGGCACGTTTTTGAGCTGTCATGGATTAGGGCAATATCGTCAGCATACTCCAAGTCAAGAAGTCGTTCTCCCGGGAGCAGATGCACACCTTCTAAATCGTGTGCTGTGACATGACTTCGTCAATAGCGAAGTTGAAGAGTAAAGGTGCAGCGGGCGTCCTTGTTTCACACCGCTGGTGACATTAAAGAGCAACGACAGCTTGCCGTAAGCCCTCACTCTGCCTGAGCTACGCGCGTATAGTGCTCGGATAATATTTACATATTTCTCAGGTACACCTTTTCTGAGTGGAGTCCCAAAGTGCACATCTATCCACCGAATCGTATGCACCTTTGATATCGAGGAGCACGACAAGGGTGGGCCGCCAATGTATGTGACGGTGCTCCAACAACTGACCCAAAGTGTAGATGTGGTCAATGCAGCCACGAGCTCGACGAAACCCGGCTAACTCTTCACGAATCTGGCTTTCACAAATGCCAGTCAGTCTGTGAAGGATGACAGGCAAGCAATTTGGAGGCGATGGAGATCAGACTGATTCCTCTATGGTTGCCGCATTCCGATCGTGTGCCTCCCTTGAAAATTGGGACTATGGCGGAGCGGCTCCAGTCGGCTGGGACAGTTTCCTGCTCCCACAGTTTCACTAGTAACTCGTTTGAATCATCCACATGAGCAGGTCCCTCGAAATTGAAGTGGGCTGGAGGTAGATCATCTGGTTCCGCGGTTTTATTTAGCTTCAACAGTGCGATATCACATTCAACTTCTGAGCGAGAGGTGGATGCAAAGGGAGAGCTCAGGGAGCGGGGCGCTCAGTGGTCGGCGAGAAATCTAACAATTCGGACTGATTTAATTGTCTTTCAAACTGCTCAGCTCAACGCTCCAAGCGTTTTGACAAGCTGTGGATAGGCTGTCCACTCTCGTCCCGTATAGTTTCACTAGTCCCAGGTCGTCTGCTGCCCGTTTCCCGTATTAGCCAGGATACCTTATTATGGTTACTAAGGGCAGCGGCCATTTCCATCTCTGATGCGCGATGAGACCACCAGGATTCACTGTCTCTTTTCAGGCTAGCACGGAGTTTTGCTCGGAGCTCTTTGGGAGTTTCATTGTGTTTGCTTCCAGTCGGAATATGCCGACGAGCATCTATAAGTTCCAGGGACTGTCCATGTTGGCAATTAGACATACCACATGAGGATTATCCTGCTGCTAGTAAGGTCTGATGAATATGAGACCAGTGAGCTTCAACTGCATCCAGTGAGCGTTTATCCAACTCGCATGACAGCATACCTTGATCCGCATTCAGAACAGCTTGTTTCGCCAGTTGCCTGGTATCAATGCGCTCACAACGTCGACTTGTGCATCCACCAAAGCGCATCCGCAGGTCGGCACATACAAGTGCATGGTCGGTGCCCACACCTGTGCTCCAAATCGAGCGACAGTTCTGGACGCAGCCTCTCCATCGGTAACTTATCGCAATGTGATCGATTTGCGTCCATAGCTGGTTGGGGTGTGGTGGTCGTCAAGTCACCCTCTGGCGGGTACTGTGTCGGAAATTAGTGCCTGCATGAAATAAGCGAGCATCTTCACACAAATGGAGTAACGGCTCACCGTTCTCATTACGGGAGCCTACACCATGTTGGCCACCCAGATGCAGCTCATCAGTGGATAATTTTCTAAGTTGAGCGTTCAGATCCCCGGCCAGCACTACATTGTCCGGGCTTATTATGTGGCGAAGTAGCTCGTTCTGTTGGCATTTGAGTCGTCTTTTACCGAATCATTGGTAGAGTTTTCCGGTGCATAGACAGCGATAACGAATAGACACCTGTTAGTCGCACGTGACTTCGAAGCTTTGAACGAGCCAGCCAATCGGACCGCACACATCCGGCTACTGATTGGAATCCAATCAACCAGAGTAGCTTCAGCCCGGGGACTCAGGGCAATATCAACCCCGGCTTGGCCGGTGCTCAAAGCTTTATCTTTATCGGATAGGCGCAATGAGAAAGTGCTGATGGTGTCACCTGAAGTGGATCGCAAAGTGAGCACAGAGCTCGAGGCTTGCAGGCGGGTCTCCGATAAGCAGCAGATATCGATCGAGAGGGCCTCTAGTGTTCGGGCAAGTGCTGCCTGTAGACCGATCTGCAGCAATGTGCGAACATTGAGACATGCCAATCTGAAGGATGATCGAAGGCTTTAAATGGAAGTCAATGAACTGGGCTTCGCCGCTTGGTTGGACATGAGGTTGTCGACAGGACAGGAATGACGCTCCGCATTTACATGTGAGTTGAAACTAGAAGGCAAAAGCTTAGCAAAGCAAGGTGGGGGAGTGTCACGAATTGGGGGTTGAAAACAAGAGAGATAAAAGTGAAGCTGAAACAGGACGGTTAGAGGGATAAAGCGCTTTGGGGAAATAAGAAGATGGAAAGACTTGAGCAGTATTATCTAAACCCCTATCCACCCTGCTCGATGCAGCAGATAGGGCACTGTTGATTATCCTCTGCGGTGGCCAGAACATGGACACGATACTATCAGGTTACCCACGCCTATACAGGAAGTGCGAGTGAATCGCTCAGCATTGTTATATCACGCACCAAGCTCTGATGGCTTGGCCACCTGCTGCGCATGCCAGCCTACAGGCACCCACGACGTGCGTTGCTTGCGCGCAGGTGTGGACGAAAGGAGAGAAGGGGTGATCAAGCGACGACTTGGTCAAGAGGAATTATAGCCGTTAGTTCGAATTTGGCCTCGTTTGGAGCCTTTGGGCTCCCTGGTTGTGGTCCGAAATACCATGAACACGTCTGACTGGATACACTTGCTGGCATGACTAGGAGTCGACCTCAGTGGCGTTTGTGTTGTGAGTTTCTTTATCCCTCCTCCTCCCGCTTAACCTCCCCGTCCTACCTCGATCTCATTTCCTATGTATAATATGACATCTTTTGCGACACAATAGCCGGCTGGTAGCTCTCCGAAACGATGCCCAGCTGAGACTGGTGGTTCAGTTGGTGTGCACCCGTTGCTATTTTTTCTTTCGGTTTTTCTTGTCTCACAATAGATGAGGTGTTTTCCACCTCTAGCTATCGTGTATTTTTATTTATTTATTTATTGTGCAATTTCTTGTACCTCGCTTGTTTAGATGCCGTATCTTTTTGTAATGCAGCCCAATAATTGTGGTGATGTTAACGTGCTTTGTGTGATAATCATGGCATTCTTTCTCCCCTATCAACTTTTATCTGCGAGAGTGGGCTGAAACTTCGTAGGCGTCTACATGTTTTGTGCCGGATAGCGGCACATTGGCTGCATAAGTAAGAGCCTTGAAAGCTGATACCATGGCTGTTTAGTAAAAACGAAAAAATTTGAGCACCAAGCCGGCCTCAAATATCCGCGGAAAAATGAGAGATTGGCCCCCAGAGCCATTCATGTGAATATGCTTACTAAGTAGTGATTGCTGATGCTCTGGCGCTATCAGTTTTTCACAATCGGGCAACTGAATTCAACTGGGGTAGAGGGGAACCTTGAAGATAGTCCAAGGTCCGACCTCCACAGCCATTATTTAGGAAAACCTCGGTCTTGTGCGCTGCATGGTGATGGACGACAGAAGTGTGATCATGAACCATATAGCTAATACTGTAGTTACCTCCGCTGACCAAGTTGAGGAAGTTCTGCTTAACGAACTGGATTTGCCGTGGAGTTGCGTCCGACAGGTGCCAACACACCAGTTTGGGTATGCCGATGACGAACTTGGCGCTTTATGAAACATATCTAGCTGATTTCCCTGAACCGGTTGATAAACCCATTCACTCTCCTGTTTTGGTACTGTTTGTTTGTTCTCTGCTCCGAATAACTTGAATGGGAAACGGTATGGAGCCGTCGATAGGATCATATCTGCAGTTGATGACTTTTTGGGAATCAGAATGAGGCGGGAACACACGCGCTGCAGCACCGATGGTAGAACTGTGTGGACCGTAGGAGAGACTATACCAAGAAATACGTTTAACATTTGTTCCCCTTGCACGGATGCATCGTCGTAGACCGATGAATCTTTTCTCTCACTGTCCCACATGGCTGTATAGTTGTGGATTATGTGCCCAATGGTTACTCTGTACTTGCTCCACCGTGCATGTTTACCTTACTTCAACATTTTTACCCGATACCTTGCATTGTGTAGTAGCCGCTTGCCAAATGCATCTTCTGTCTCTTTTTAATTCGCTTGATTTCCTATTTCCATTGTTACCCACGGTTGCTTTCGGTTGCAGTTGGCATGCCGTACTTGACTATCATTCCTCAAATACCCTTTATCCACCTTTAAGTTTCCAGTGCTTTCAGTTCGGCGGTAGCTTATACATTTCCTGAATTAAACGTAAGATACCAGGCGTGTGAATGGTTTTTTGCTTATAAAACGCATGATCCTTCGGCTGTAAAAGTGCAACCGTCGATTTGTCGCGTCATGTTTGCTTCCTGTACCTGTTTTAGACTAAGGATTCGTGCATACCTCGGTTGTTCGACTACACCTGTCACGTGAACACTGAGAACAATTACTCGATCGCTAAAGCTGCGGATTTCCTTTACTCTCGATCTGATCTGACCGTAGTATATTATTATTGGTGTCTTACTGGCGGGAACTTGAAGTCGGTGTGGGAAGATTCAACAGGTCAACTTCCCAACCACTACTCGACCCTGTCGGGCACTGGTGTTTTGTCCACCCCAACGCACTCGGGGATATGTTCAACCGAAGCATAGTGCATTCCGTGGTCACGACCTCCAATTCTTCGCTTACCTCACTATCTGTCTATAGTGTATCATCCAGCGTCTTCGGAGGTTTCACACGTATCGGAACATTGGTCAGCTCATCATCAGGGGGACACCTCGAGGTAAGCGCCTAAACATTGTGCAGTTTGTCTGTCGCAACTTTACTTTATATGTGTAAACCTCTCTCATGGCTTTAAAGCACATACAAGATCTTAGAAAGCACATTTTCATTCGCTGTTTTCTCTCTCAACTGAAAACCTTTCGCTTTATACCTTTTTTCTGTCATTGCTCTGAAGGTTCTTCATATCCTACCTACATTAAAGAATTTGTTTCTTCTACATTGAGGAGGAGTTTATGGCTTTACATTACATCTATTCAGCATTGACGTGTCAACAGGCTATCCCGTTGGCAGCTAGCATTAGTCCTTTTGCCTAATGTAAAGATCACGGTAAGAAAATGGACGTTGCAAGTACCTACGGTCCTTATTGCCTCGTTCGTCATGTTAATACCAACCGTTATACAAGTGCATATATGGGTAGGTGTGCGGTTCGACAAGCTCTTCTACTTCTATCTTAGAGGACAATAGCTTTCGACAGCGGAGATGAGCTTCGTCTTAACTTCAAAACGGGGTCAAGCGTCACTCACGGTAGATTTTACCTGTTCGCGGAACCCTACTCTTTTTTGTGTAAAGCGGCTCATTCATGTATGCTTCTCAGACCGAATGTTTACTGATCGTGACAGACATCTCAGTTGTTCCTTAATGATTATTTTACCGCGTGTTACACCAATCACTGTGGTTTAAGACAAATCTACAGTCTAACCTCTTATTGAGATCACCTGTCCATAGCGACCAGCCGAAAAATCCCCGACCTTTTCTCCCATAATTAACGTCCATGGCTACCACCTGTCCAAGGCGACCTTCGTCGTCGTAGTCGTCGTCGTCGTCGTCGTCATCATCCTCCTCCTCCTCCTCCTCCTCCTCATCATCATCATCATCGCCATCATCGTCATCATCGCCATCATCATCATCATCATCATTGTCATCACCATCAGTCATCATCGTCATCGTCATCATCATTATCATCATCAGTCAGTACACGTTAGCTGAGGGTGAGAAACACACCTCAGCTAATGTGGCGCAACATCAAACGAACACAGTGCAAAATCTAAAAGGTGATTTAAAGATTATCTCACATACTAACTATGAGATCGAGATTGGAAGGTTAATCTGCAAATGAAAAGAATTGACTAAGAAAATCACAATACGAATGCCATCGGACCGGATCTTTGCCTATCAACAAATGTGTCCAACCAAACGTTCATTGTCCTTGGGACTCCATCCCAGCATTCGGGATGCACCAACCGACTCCAGCTTCGAGGTGAGGACCTTCATTCCTCTTGCCCACATCATTGTCTGCTCTGTCCTCATCTTCTTCCATCCACACCCCCGTCGCGCAAACAACACGTCGCGGAAGTTGGTGTGCTGGCACGCGCAACACGTGGTCCTAGCAGTCGGAGCCTGGTGCGTGTTATAATGGTCCTGAGTGTTTCACTCGCTCTTCCTACACCAAATACGCGACGCCGAACACGCTCATTACTTACGTGGTGCTTCCACCAGACATGAGCTAAGCCGCGAAGACAGCGATGATCGAATGTGACGGGCACCTTTATATCTGTCGACCTGATGGGCCAGGTTTCACAACCATATAGGAGAGTTGAACGGACGGCTGCGTTATAAACTCTGCCCTTCACGGCGAGAGTAATGTCGCGTCTGCGCCACAGATGATGGAGATTGGCAAAAGCAACTCGGGCGTTTGCTATACGGTTCGTAAACTCAACTTCGATCTCACGGGCGCTTATGCAGCTGCCACAGGTACTTGAATTTCTGAACGACTTCTAGCTGATCAACACCAAGGGTCAGTCAAGGGTGGGTCCCTGGCAATCTTGGGGAAATACTTTGCATTTCGAGGGTGCAAAGCATAGCCTACCGCAGTTGACTGTCAGTGCTGCTTGGCACGTTTGGGAGCTGTCACAGATGAGAGCAATGTCGTCCGCATACTCCAAGTGAAAAGTCGCTCGCCAGGAAGTAGCTCCTCACCTTGTAGGTCGTGTCCAGCGCATACTGTTTCCATGTCTTCGTCAATGTCGAACTTAAAGAGGCAAAGTGACAGCGGCAACCTTATATCACACCGCTGGAGATATTGAAGGACGACCATAAACCTTCACTCTACCCGAACTCTGCGCGTGCAGCGCTCTGATAATCTTTACGTATTTCTCGGGTAAACCTTTCCTGAGTAGACTGTTCCAAAGAGCACGTCGATCCACTGAATCGAAGGTATCTTTTATGTCGAGGAACACGACAACCGTGGGTCGCCAATACACATGGCGGTGCTCTAACAATTGACGCATAGTAGAGATGTGGTCAATGCAGCCTCGCTTTCGACGAACCCCGGCTTGCTCCCCACGAATCCGACTTTCACGATTGCTAGTCAGTCTGTGGAGAACGACAGGCGCAAGCGATTTAGAGACAATTGAGACCAAAGTGATCCCCTATGATTGCCGCATTCCGAACGGGGGCGTCCCTTACAAATTGGAACTGACGAAGCAGCTGCATTTGGTTGGGACAGTCTTCTGTTCCCACATTTTCTCCAGTAACTCGTGTAAATCATCTGCAAGAGCAGGACCTCCGAATTTAAAGAGGGCTGGGGAGGATTCTATCTGTCCATGTGTTCTTATTCAATTTCAGCTGTCTAATCTCGCGTTCGACTTTGCGTGTGAGAGCGGGCCCAAAGAGACAGCCCAGGGAGAAGGGCTATCAATGCCTGAATAAGAAAATGCGAAATGGTCGGCCTAATGCTCCAAACCTTTTGACAAGCTGTGGCTCCTTTTCCTAAGGTAAGGACGAAGCTGTGGATCGGCTGTCCATTGTCGTCACGTCTGCTGCTGCCCGTTTCCACTATCAAACGTAATAACTTATGTTGGTTGCCAACGGCAGCGACTCTCCATCACCCATGCAGGATGAGACCACCATGCTTCGCGAGTTCACTTCACACCAGCATGGCGTTTTGTCCTGAGATTTTTGCAAGTCTCATTATGATCGCTTCCAGCGTCGGCGAGCATCCAAAACTTCCGGAGATTGCGTAAAGACCCAATGTCCAGGTTGGCAATTTGATTTGCCACTTGTAAACATGCCCCCTGATGGTAACGTCTGGCGAATATGCGATCAGTGATCTTCAACGATGTTCAGTGGGCGCTTACTCAGCCCTCATGCCAGCGTACTTTGATAGGTATTTAGAATACCTGGCTTCGCCAGTTGGTTGGTGTCAATGCACTCACAGCGACGTTTTGGACGTCCACCGAGACGTAATCGAATATCTGCACACACAAGGGCCTAATCAGAGTCCGCACTCGTGTTCCAAATCGAGCGACAGTTTTGGACACAGCCTCTCCAGCGTTAACTGATCGCGATGTGATCCCTTTGTGTCCATGGCTGGTTCGAGGCTAGTGGGCACCAAATCACTCTTCTGCGGGTGTTATGTCGAAAGTTAGTGCTCGCGAGAAAGAAACGAGCACCTTCACACAGGTGTTGCAACCGCTCACTGTTATCATTACAGGAGCCTACACCATGTTGGCCGCTCAGATGAAGCTCATCGGAGGACAAATTACCGACTTGAGCGTTTAGATCACCAGCATGTACCGCAGTGTCCGTACATTTTCTGTAATGAAGGAGATCCTTACGTTGATGATAGAAATCATCTTCCATCGAATTTGTGCTGTAGTTTGTGGGGGCGTAGGCCGCAATAACAAACAGGCACCGTTTGTACCCACGCGACTTGGAAGCTCTGAATGAGCCAGCCAATCTAACGGCGCACATTCGGCTGTTGACTGGGACTGATGGCTTCAACTGGGCGACTCAAAATATTCAAGGAGACATTCCGCTACTTGGCGCCCTTCTTCACGAACGTAAGACTTGCTTTAAATTGATCACATCGCCATCAGTTCCCGATGGCGAGGTCGTGTAAAAGATTGCAGATCAATCTGGTCCATATTTATTGACTCAGACCCCACTCTTGTATGTGCGAACATCTGCATAAATTTCGTAGGGTCCCTGAAAGCGAAGCACCGCAAGCTGGATGCAAATAAACTATCTACTCTGTAGACTTAGTAGAGCTCTTAATCTTCCTTGGCCGACGCAATCAGCCGTGACCCACCGTAGGACACTGATGGTCACCTGATGTTCATGCAGAAGACCATGATTGCTTCTGGACAGTCAGTCTGTGGTCTAACACGGCACCCACTGAATGCCGTAATCGGTTTGATCCCTCTAGAAATCTTCCACCAGCTTCTGATCATAATGAAGTGCACTGATCTATCATTCGACAACTAAAATAAGGTCTACATACGGATCGCGAAACGGCGTAATCACAACACACTGCGGAAATGGAAGATACTGCCTTACCTGGCAACTCTCGAAAGCTCTTCCACCTCGTTCAATCCACTGGCTACAGGAAGCTTGTTGTTCGTGGGCTGTTTGTGAAGTGGATGGCTCGTCGATTGCTTAGCTACGGAGATGTCTGGATCGCCAGGCGCGACCTTTTCTTTTCCAGTTCAATTGGCCCCACCGTCCACTTGAATGCACTGCGAACTGGATCGTCACACTTGTTTCATCCAGATGAGCAGAAATTCGCCTTGCAGTTTAACATTTGAACCGATTCAAGCCTGCCGACTCAGACGGACTTCCTCTGGAGATGTTCAAGTATGCAGGCGCAGTTATCATCAGCCAGCTAACATCACTGTTCGCCAAAATCTGGCGTGAAGAAAAGGTGCCTTCTTCCTGGAGCGAATCAGTAGTTGTCATGATTTTCAAGGAGGGTGCTTGCAGTTTATGGGCTAATCACCTGGGGGATCAGTCTCATTTCGGTTGCCTCCAAGTTATTGGCATCCATTCTACTTTGTAAAATATCCCGTATTCGTGACTCGCAGTACCGGGAAGAACAAGCACGCTTCCTTCCTGGTCGTGTGTGAATGGATTAAATCTTCACTCTCCGCCAACTCTTCAAACACTACCACCTGTACTAGTGGCTTACCATCGTTGCATTTTTAGACACCCGTGCTGCGTTCGACTTGGTTGTTCGATGTGTGCTATGGCGGTGCTCGTTAATGAACAGGATCCCAGAATAGTATACTGCCATTACATGCAATCTATCTCCATGCCTCCGGCAAAGTGAAGGTTTTAAAGATGCCCATTAGATAATCAAAAGTAATTGTTAGTGGACATGTTTTTTCGATAATTCTTTTTCAGGCTAGTACAATTTTATACCAGTCACATCAATTAGATTGACTGCTGAGGACGTTAAAAGGGGATAAAATCAGTTTAGAAGGGGTCAGATATCTCTATTGATCAGCTCGATGTCGGAGCCTTCACTCAATCTAACAGTAAAAATCACTGTTCGATCGGGCCAAGATAGCCGTAGGACCTGAACAAATCGCTTCTGAGTGCACCGTTTCGGTTCGTGCAGCTGAATTGCGAAAGCTTCAGCGACTTCTAGTATGCGTCTGCGCATATACCTCGATCGAATATCCGGATCCTTGTAGATACTTTGGAATGCTTCGGCTGGCCGAGGGTTGTGCCCTGTGTCGGCGAGGTGGGCATCTATGGCTGAGTTACCTACCATAATGCAACCATACCTTTACGGTGCTTTTTCACTCTCTCGGATGGACACCTAGTCGTACGATCAATGTATCCTGAACCACAGGAACAGATAAATGAATAGATGTACATGGAATTGTCTTGGACAAGTCTACTATCCTTGAGACTGCACTTCACCACCGGTGTGCTGGTAAAGTAGGTGTAATTTTGTTGCTGAGAACATCTGTCTGAGCTGCTGTGATAGACGGTGATTAAGTATGTCGGCGATGATTCCCCCTTTGTAAGAAAACTGCTTTTTTGTTAGCCGTTATGACCACTGGTGTGTTCACGCTCTTCTGCATGGGGACTTTTATGGAGTGATCTGACTAGCCATTTTCCCGCAGCATCCAGCACATTCGCTGTAGTTCACCAAGTGTATCATGCGAGCAGATTCTTTCTGCTCTACTGACTAGATTATGAAATCAATTCCGTTTCAGCCACAGTGGCACGAAGCTGTGGAAGTTGGTGTACTGGCCGTTCCATGGGCCTTTTCTATATGCGGGGCACTGTAATATCCCCCTATAGAGTCTCTTTAGGTCCACGTCAAGGAACTGAGAACAGCCATTTTCCTCTATCTCCGAGGTAAAGTGCATCACTTTATAGGAGGTTACAAGTGTTGGTAATATCTTCAATACTCTGGGAGAACTGAAACATCACAAATATGTCATCGGCATAACGGCGGTAGAGGTTAAGATTTGCGATGGTTGATTTTAGACTCCCTTGTTCAAGCATGCCCATGAAGATATCAGCGAGTACCATCCCAAATTACGAGCTCATCGCCACCCCATCTCGCTGTCGGTATGACATCTCATTAAATAAAAACTGTACGTTATACAGGCATCTGCACAGCAGTTCTTTCAAGGCCACGGTGGGTATGCCGATGTTCATCCCGCTCCCGTCAACATATTCACAGATATAATTTTATGTCTCAAATACCGGTACATTTGTGAACAATGGGGAGACATCCAGAAAGCACATGGTTAGACCCGAGGCCCAACAGCTGCCCCGGCCCGATCGAATAGTGACTTTTACTCAGTTTGATTGCGTAAAGGCCCCAACATCGACTTGATTGATAGCGATAGCTGACCCCATTTTAACGACTTCAACGGTCTGCCTAATTGATGCAACTGGTGCATACTTGTACTAGCCTGAAGAAGAATTATCGATAGCATGTTCGCTAACGCCGACTTTTGCGTATCTAATGGGCTTCTTTAACACTGTAAAACACAACTTGGACCTGCCTGTGTTGAAACTGCTCAACAGATCTGTGAGCTACCGGACCAAGATTACAAAGGCGGATATATGTCTGTTTTATTGAAGGCTGCATAGAAAGCGATGTGTACCCATCTATCTATTGGAAATCACTTCGTCATTCACGTATCAGGCCAGATAGCGGAAGTTCAGTGTCTAGCAACAAGCCAGATGGATACCTTGCGTTCCAAGGCAGGCGAATTTGTAACGCGGTATGAGTCAATGTAACACTGCAGTAGCCTCTCTTACAACGAAGGACAAGACGGAGCTTGAGGAAATGATTATGGCCATGATCGTGAAACAGTGAACGGAATTACGAAATTCGCTTTCCAACCAAACCATAAAGGTGTGTCACCAAATTATCATCCATGGTGCTCGATCAGGTAAGCAAGCAAGTGACATAAATTATTTTGATGATATCTCCTTACTCGGTGACTACTCGCAGTCTATGCAAACCATTCCGGACCGTTGAGGCATTTTAGTACGGATTATGCTTCGTTCCATCGAAGTGTAAAAGGTGTTGATCCAGGGTAGGCACTCACCTGTTCCCTTGCACACCTTTTAATATGCACAGTCTGAACACGTGGATAACTATGTTTACCTGAGCAATTGCGTCTGTTAGTGTTACTATTTGTGAGGATGTTTCCGTATCACCAAATCTCTGTTGTTGTTTTTCAACCTGAAACACTTGAGGCGTTGTGGGGACGTCTACTTCTCGATAAAGGGCCATGTTTGCAATACCTCTGTTCTAGCTGTTTTGCTACATGGGGGCGGGCCGTGGCAACTTAGCGTACATGACATGCATCGGCTCTGGGCCTTCGAGAGCGGTTGGTTCAGGAGGATTACCCATGTGTGGTGCAACAACCTGCCGGCGGCGGTGACGTCAGCCGTCTTGACATGTATTCTGTTCAACGAGCTGATCCTGTGCTGACAGTTTAGATGCCACGGTCACATCCTACGTACGTCGTTCGAATGTTTGCTCCATCGTACCCTGTTTGCTCGTGCAGGTATCGGTTGGCACAGACAACGCGATGGTAAACCCTCCACCTAGCGTTAGCATATGAAACTATTGACGTCACGTTCAGCCGCCGTTGGATCCACTAGTCACCCTTTTTGGAGACTACGGAACGACTAATGCCGATGGCTCGAAACACTAGGATTTGGCCTACAACCGAAATCAGTGGGAGACTTGTGTTCACCGTTGTTATGATTCAAGTGTATGCTACTTAACAAATGAAAGACAGAAAACGAAAAGTGGCGCGTATTTCTTTTTGTATTTTGTCGGTTTACGTACTTTTGGATGGCTCTATTGCCTTTATTTCATACGACTGAATCACTTTTTTCTCTGTGGCTAAGTATACGATTTCCATATTTATTATCATTACTGTTATTGTTCTTTTACCTTCTATTTTATATTCTCCGTTATTGCATTCTTGGCGACGACTGGGTTGATCCGCTGATGTGACGGCTGATTTTCCAACCTAATAAGTTAACCCAGTTAGGACGTATTGCCATAGACCCACTAGCCGATAACTAAAGTGTTTTACTAAAATAGGATCGGGGGTCCCGGCTAGATGGATTGTGTTTCTACACTATATACACATAAAAACTGTCCTAAAGATGAGTTAAATAGTTGATGACCTACTTGATTTAAAGCCACACCGGCATACGGCCTTGTTTTGTGTATGGATATGTAGGTGAAACACTTCTACGGCCACTACCATGCATGGAAGCAGGTCCGCTGGAGATGATTTCACTGTTTGCCGTATTACTTCACTTAAACATTTATCTGCATTTATTATTGGCAAATTCTAAACCATTTCGAAGGATCCAGTCGGTCAGCTCCCCAAATATTTTAGGAACTGGTCTGCAAAACGTCTCTTCCGTGCGATTCCACTGAAGATAATGGTCAGACCACTCAATTGGACTGTGCGCCGCATTATCGAAGAATATACCGTTTGTTTCTTTTTTGTTTATTTCACAACCACTGCCCACTCTCGTGTTCATTGGTTTTACGGGTACCGTGAATTACATCCCTCATAGTTCACTGGATCGCGGAAATACTCGGACCATTGCACTGCGGTTTTAGACGTGTGTAACATTTAATGCTTTTATTTCACTGGTGTTTTGCTCATTTTTGTCTTTTGTGACCTTCTTTTCCAACGCATCGATGCAGCTCTGTTTCACGCATCATCCTGTTGCCATTCCAACGGCTGTTAGAGAGGATTAGCAAAATGTCGTTGGATGCGTTATATCCACTGCTTGTCCCCTCCTTCGAATTGACGGCACACGCTTCTCCTGTTGAACGACCAACTAATTTCTTCGACTGCGGCTGTTTACACCCCGATGGGTACTTTTTTGAAAATTTCACTGATGGACCCGTGATCAGACTCCAACCCACAGATAATCCGTTAGAAGATCATCCCAACTCATTCAAGGCTTTTGATGTTGAGTATCAAGTTCGCCGCGTGTGCTTGTTCAAGAGGCTATTGAACGGACTGCCCGCCACAGAATTTCATCTCCGTCTGGAGGCTCGCAAGGATATTCCACCTTTGCTACGCTCTCACGTGAGCTATGTTTTTCCCAGGTTACTAGATCTTTCCGTTAATTTCGCTCAAAATTACGGTAAACATTCCCACGCATCCATTGGTTCAATCTGTTATTCCGTCACTTCTTTTTTATTGGGATCCCCAGCATATACCTTTCTCTTTGTCTTATTTTGGGTTGCTCACCTGCCGACTCAGTATAGAAGACATCAGCAGTACACCAGTACGCAGTACCGATGTTTTTCTGCCACGTAACCACCACCGGTTGCACGTGGGCTACCGATACTGCGACGGTCGTCCGGTCCCTACGAATGTTCGAACCCGCGCCCTCAGATTACAAGGCATCCTTGTGATCCTTAAGACTATGGGCTGTCACCCGGTGTGAGCATGGTGTGTTTTGTCATTTTCGGGTCGAGCTTTCTTTGCGTCGCGTCATCGTCATCATTATACACGTTAGCTGCAGATGGAAAACACCTCAGCTATTGTGCCGCAATACAAAAGACAAGAAAAGGAAAACCAACAGTGGCACGCAGGCTGAGTCCCCAGTGACGGATGGACATTATTACGGAGAGCTAACACCTGGCTATCGTGCCGTTAAAAGAGAATCCTATTACGCCTAACGAGTGAGATCGTGATTGGACGGGGATCGACCTTATCGTCGCCAGTTCTCTTGGAGCATCTCTTCGTCTCAGTCAGGCTTGATGTGTATTGCACTGAATTGAGCTGAATCGCTTCTTTGGTGGCATCTCCAGTGTCATCTTTATCGGATCACTAGGTTCTTCAGGTCATGGTGTGTATGACGGGGGCTTTTAAGCAACACTACTTTTCTCCCAGTCAACAAAGCAAGCAACTATCCAGTCGGCCGGACCGCACTTCAGGTCCTAGACACATTGAAGTACGCTTGACTAGACCGTTGCCTTAGTGAATCACATGCTCCTGGCGCGAGTTTGCAAGAGCGTATTTTAACTGATGGGTTGGCGTCCGCATACTGCTAACATCGGGCAACGGGTGACACATTCGCCTACTTCGGGTCGACGTAGTTGCTGCATCATATGCATAACAGGCCAGATTGTGAATGCTAAAATGCAACCTCTAACAAGCGCGTGCTTTAACATTTGAAGGTCAAGTGGGGATCCAATCACAATCTTAGTTTGACTGGCACCTATCGTGAGCACTAAGCGCTTTTTCTGGTTATATGTGCGGTTACATACATCGGAATTACGAATCTGCTGTCAGCCGTCCTAAATCTGATTCATGGCCTGTGGCATTTTGACTCCCCCATTCCCTCCCCCATGAATGGCTGTGTGCTCTTGTAGCATTTCACAGTGATATCAATTATATTAGCTATTGAACGCGCCCAATCAATTTGATCCTGCGCGACGCTAATTATTTCACTACATCAGGCCGCCACTGAATTCTGGATATTCAGCTCGGAACGCGACCTATCCAATATTCACTCTCCGAACAAGTGATCGGATAAGCAGATCTCTACAACTGCGGAATACCGCATTGGTGCACCCATACGATAAACTGATTTCCCTATCTACATCGCACAACAGATCACCGAGGCTCCTACTTTCGGGCCGAAATATCATGAGAAATAAAGCTCCTTTGGAAAGCCGAGGTCATTCTTTTACTCACAGGCCTCCCTGATCATTGTCACATTTCCCGCTTGCTCATTTACCAATAGCTATTTAAAAATTTCTTCCAGTTCCGGACTTGCCCGCCACTGTGATCGCGAACGGCAATTTCACGAAACATGCCGTTTCTGACATGATTATGATTTTACCATCTTGTTACACCATTACAACCATAGAACAAAACGAATGCATTAAATAGAGCGAGCGTTGCCGCATCTTTAAATATATATATATATATATATATATATATATATATATATATTCACAGTCTGTTAACAGACATTGTGCCATCAGAACCATAGCAGAAGAAAAAGGTGAAGAAGATGGGGACACTAATGCGATTAAAAAATATGGGAAACGAATTTTTTTGGTTTTACACACGCCATTTTGTACTTTTTTGTTTTGTTTTGTGAGTTTTGTGTGTATCAAAGGGATGGTGAAATTGCGGAACAACATTGCCGCCACTGATGTCTGTTGCGGGCCATGACGTCCAATGTTTCCAACCACTGCAATTCAGCATCTCGTGGTCCCCAACCTGGAAGGCGGACTGGTCCGACTGCTGCCAAACTTGAGGTCGCCTTCTTCATACTCCTTCTCCACGTCATCGGCTGTCCACCGCGGCACTTTTTCCAATCGCTCCCTGGGAGTGCAAATAGCGTTCGACGTGGAAGGCGATGGGCTGGCATGCGCAGAACATGCCCGAGCCAGCGTATGCGATGTCGGAGAATAACGTCTTGAAGACTGGCACTATTCGCCCCAAGCACGCGGTCTCTCACCTCTGCGTTGCTTACGTGGTGTTGCCACCACACCCTAGCAATCCTTCGTAGACAGCGATTATCAAAGACTGATAGCCGCTTCATATCTTCCGAGCGAATAGGCCAAGTCTCACAGCCGTACAAGAGTACTGCACGGACGGAAGCATTGTACACCCTGCCCTTGAGCTTGAGACTGACATCACGACGACGCCATAGATGTCTCAGTTTGATGAATGCAAGGCGGGCCTTTGCAATCCGTTGTGAGACTTCATCTCCAACACCGCCACCAGCCGTGATGCAACTCCCTAGGTAAGTGAAGCAAGGGACTTGCTCCAGAACATGTCCAGCAATGGTGAGCGCGGGTTCAGGCACCTGCCAATTCTGGAGCAGCGTTTTACATTTTCCCGGAGTGAAGCACAGGCCGTACTTAGACGCCTCCATCGCCAAGCGGTCCAGAGCGTTCTGGACGGATTGTGGGTCGTCCCCCAGCAAGGCGATATCATCGGCGTAGTCCAAGTCCGTGAGTCTGTCTCCAGGGAGAAGCTCAACACCGCAGTCCTGGACACCTTCCAGTGCTCTTTGGAGAACATCTTCGATGGCGAAATTGAAGAGGAAAAGAGAAAAGAGAAAAGGAAACATTCAATGGTCCAAGTAAAGTAGTACGATCATTCATGGAAACGTCTCCACGTGACCTGCTTCCATGCGGAGTAGTTCCTCTAAAGCTTCATCCTCCATCTGGCAATGTACCGATGTGGCTTAAAAGCATGCAAGCCTTCTCCGTTTTGATTCCTCTTTTAAGCCAATTTTATATATGCGGTTTGGTCTTGCACCGCAGCCCAATCTGGCCGCGTTCTAGTGTATTCTAAGCTCAAACAGGCCATCACCACTTTGACTAAATTTTTGTATTTTTGACATTTTTTATATGCAATTCAGGTGGCCATTAGTCATTCAGCCCGTTTCGCTCGTCTGAGAGTAGAACACTCATTTTTGCTACAATTGCATTTGTGGCATTTCCCCTTGCGTAGGTGCTGTGATTAACATAGAAACCTCACTGTGTCACCTCAGGAGATAGGCCAAGTCGTGACCAACAATTGAAGAAGAGTAGAATAAAGCGAACAATAATGACCATAATTATGTAGTCAGTAAAAATACGAGTCATCGACCCTTGGACGGATTCGATTAGTGACTACAGGCATACTATGTGAGGCATCATGAAATGCATAGTGGCAATGTAGCTAACGTCAAATGCAGATGCTATGAATAGCTGAGTGTATTTCGTTCTGGCATGTGTGTAACTGTGGGAAGAATAGAGAGATCAACTACTATTTTTGTCACACCGGAATGAAGTGGTTTTACCATTCAGCCAGGAACGACTCCGCTATTTTCTGAATGTGAAGTTCTGAACGAGAAGTCCTCGAAAAGATTATATATATATATATATATATATATATATATATATATATATATATATATATATATATATATATATATATGGTTGGCGGCATCCGGTTTCGGATTTGCCTGTCATTGTTACCAGCCACACGACGCCTGTGCCTACAGTTGGACCATTTATGGCTTGCGCTACACCACCAACAGATCCAACCACACACCCCATATCCAGTGTAAACCCGAAGGAATAAGACCGGGAGGCATGTGGATGGGACCCACGTTTCATCAACGGAGCCGGCCCACACTGCTTCACAGGCAAACACAATCACGCTGTATTTGGAGAATCAAGCGCGCACAAGGCGGTAGCTGGACCGTGGTCCGCTCCACACTGAGTGCATGGAACCACTCTTTGATCCTAACACGGCCACAAGGACCGTGCACCCCGTCCCCTCCAGCAACGACAAACTGTTTCCTGGAGCCAGTATGGACGAGGTAGTGGGTAATAGACAAGTAGGCACCTTGTCAACACGCAAATCAAGCGCAGCCACACGGATCAAGCAACAGCGATTCACTTGAAACGACAACAGCAAATGAAATGTATCGGACAATGCATGTAGGGTGAAATTACCCCACTAAATGTGGCTTTAAAATAAATTGGTTACGAAGAAATCCGTGATATGTCCACGAAGTCAGCAAATATATTCTAAGAAAATGCAACGAACGCGAAAATGTTATCGAAGCTAGCTACAATTAGCTTAAGCGACATGTGCAAATTCATAGACGATAGCTCTGGTAGACATTTATGAGATAAAAAAAGCATTAGGACAATACGGCAAACCCACCACCTGAACTAAAGAGGCTCAGCATGCAAGCACTCGGTTTGCAAATCGAATTCAACTACCTACAAATCCTGCCCTGGATCTGCCTACGTTCTCTGCAGTACTCGTTGTCGCTTCGGTGGTGACGCCGAGTTGCCTCGCTCATGGCTCACTAGGCCTGCCTGACTCAGACACTCGGGACCGCATGTGCTACAGCACCATGCGCTCGCTGTGGATGGAGTACAACCCATTGACACTTGTCGTTTCCACAATTGCCGCTTCTTCCCTGCATGCACGAGGGCTTTCTCCTGCACCTCGGCAACGACCTTCGTGATCAATTCGCGCCATACACACCGCTCAATCGCCTTCGCTACTTATGACCTGCAATCAAGGTCAGAACGTGGGAGGCTCAATTTGAT